AGACTCGCTTGAGCCCAGGAGTTGGAGGTTGCTGTGAGCTGTGATGTCACAGCACTTTACCCAGGGGGACAACTTGAGACTGTCTCAAAAAAAAAAAAAAAAGTGAGGAACATTGGAAGGGGCCACACCCTTGGCTCTCTATGCAGAGAGGGCTTGCTGGTGGTGGCCTCCCCAGGTCTCCCAGTTCAATATAAATGGACCGATTAGGTGTTCTTAATTGGCATCGAGTTGCACCGACATTCACTAAATGCAATGTGGGTGCCAAGAAGACAGACAAAGATACAAAGCCACTCAGTCTAAGTTTACTTCAACCCGCTCTGTCCGGGTGCCATCACCCCTCTCCTGGGGAGCCCACTACTAGATGCTGTCTTGTCCTTATAATCACACTCCCTGGGCCCTGTGCTCTGGACCACATGTATCACAAACACATTAAATCAAAGAATACACGGGGGTTCCTGTCATTCAAGATCCAAGAACACAGGGTGTTCCTTAAACAGCTGCTCTCTTGATTCACATTGTTCAGGCTCTAGAGAAAAAGTATTTCTGTCCTTGAAACAAGTCTCTCAAGTCCAAATGCTTCAAAAGTTTGTAGGCTGTGCTAAGCATAGTGTGGGGAGCAGACACTGCAGAATTAAAAATATCGGGAGGATTTGAATTGCAGAGGCTCGTGGGGAAGAGAAAAGATTAACTTGTTAGATCCCCCTCTCAGAATGCATGCAAAAGATTCTTGCAGAAGTATAATTTCTCACTCATAATGCACATCCATTTTCTTGTAATTCTTTGTGTTCTATTTTTGGTTTTGGAGGTACTCACAGAATCGAGTTTTGTTTGCAACAACAATGAACAGTGGCTAGGAAACGTTTTATAATTTTAAATAATTCATATGAGATAAAACATTCAAATGAGATGTAGCATGTTTGAAATATGTTACGAATTCATTGCATTAGCAATGAGATGACATCAAATGGTAAAACTGCTGGGTTTTGTTCTGATAAAAACAAACTCTACCCTTGGTAGAGTGTCCCGGCGTCATAGCTCACAGCAACCTCAAACTCTTGAGCTAACGTGACCCTCTTGCCTCAGCCTCCCAAGTATCTGGGACTATAGGTGTCCACGACAACATCTGGATATTTATTTTTAGAGACGAGGTCTTGCTCTGGCTCAGGCTGGCCTTGAACCTATGAGCTCAGGCAATCCACTCGCCTCCTCCTCCCAGAGTACTAGGATTACAGGCATGAGCCACCTATAGGCCATGAGCCTGGCCTAAGATTTTATTAAATATTAAAAACATAAAAATGTTAGCTCTCTTTGACTAGTATTGATTTAAAATTTTGGTAGTCAGTGAATTGCTTGAGTTCACAAGTTCCAGACCTGCCTGAGCAAGAACGAGACCCTGGCTCTACTAAAACAGAAAAATCAGCCAGGCATGGCTACTCGAGGGGAGGGACGGGGATCACCTGAGCCCAAGAGCTTGAGGCTGCTGTGTGCTATGATGTCCACAGTACTCTATCGAGGATGACAAAGTGAGACTCTGTCTCAAAAAAAAAAAAATGTTTATAGTACACTCTAAAAAAAGTTTATTGTACACTCTATTTGGAGGTTTTGGTCAATGCTAGGAGAATAAACATTCTGTTTAAATAGTTCTTAAACTTTTCTTTAAGATTAACAACTTTATGGTTAATAGTTTCATGAATAGACCAATTCACTTCACTGGTTCCCACACTGGTTAATTCTCTGTGTGTTACTCTCTCTCCTGAAGTGTATTTCCCCACTGTTTGTGACCTACCACCCGCCTTCTACAGCGGGCTTTTTAAACTTATCTCCTTGCCTCCCAACGCTTGCAGAATGATCTGAAACAGTCTGACCAGGTTGCTCCCCTAATTAAAGTTACCTGGGAGCTTTCCATCACCTATTGCAGCAGTTCTCAACCTTTGGGTCATGACCCACAGGAACTGTATTAAAGGGCCACAACATTAGGAAGGTTGAGAACCACTGACCTATGGGATGTCAAAGCTTTATTTTTATTAGGGACAGAGTCTCACTTTGTCACTCTGGGTAGGTAGAATGCCACAGCACCATAGTTCACAGCAACCTCAAACTCTTGGTGTCAAATGATTCTCTTGCCTCTGCCTCCCAAGAAGCTGGGACTATTGGCACCCACCACGATGATGAGTTAGTTTTTCTATTTTAGTAGAGACGGGGTCTCATTCTTGCTCAGGCTGGTCTGAAACTCCTAAGCTCAAGCAATGCTCTTGCCTCGGTCTCCCAGAGTGTTAGGGTTATAGGTGTGAGCCACTATGCCCGGCCTGTCAAAGCTTCTTAACAAGACAAGCAAAGGCCCGTGATGAGCCCCTTCTTTCCCACACCACAGTTGTCCCATTCCATTATTCCCCTTTGCCTATTAAATCTCTAACTTGAACTGTCCTCTGTCCTTCTGCTCCCTTATGTCTGGAGTAACTTCCTTCTGCTTGGCTTTTTTATCCTCACCCTTCAAGACTCAGGATAGCTCCATTTAGGAACCATATCACTTCAGTGCCCATCAACATTTTGCCTGAGATCAATACTCCTCTGTGTTCCTAACAGTATCCCAGACATAACTGTATCGGGGCCTTATCAAACGGCACTGACATGATGACTGGTCCGTCATGCACTCCACAAGTACAGGAACCTGTTCTCAGTAAAAGTGAGTGCTCAATTTTTTTTTTCTCTTTGAGACAGAGTCCTACTATGTCGCCCTCAGTAGAATGCCATGGTGTTACAGCTCACAGCAACCTCCAACTCTTGGGCTTAAGCGATTCTCTTGCCTCAGCCTCCCCCGTAGCTGGGACTACAGGCGCCCATCACAATGCCTGGCTAAGAGCTCAAATGTTTGTTGACATAAGGTCTGGATCCCAGATGGAACGGTTTTCAAAAATCACAAACCGGACCTTAATAGTCCTAATGTCGTTACTTTCACTTTATAAAACTTTCTGAGGTCTAATAACTTGGAAAAAATGACCCAACCATATGTTAATGATTTTTTAAACCCCCAAACTGGAGGTAGCTTTTATGATCTAGTCCTGATGGAAGCCTGTCAGTCCACAAACAAACAAACAAAGAAAAAAACCTCCAACAAACGCATGCCTGAAGGACTGGTGAGGTGACTGTCCTCTTGACTTGTCACTCCTGCTAACTGTATGCTTGGATTTGAGTCAGCAAGTCTGTGGATGCCACATAACTTGATTTTTCCCCTTCTCAGACACTGACTGCAACTATCTTGTCACCTGCAATGCAGCTCGCTACCCACCAGACCTAACACTCTGCGTTTTAGAACCTTGGATTGTTCCTCCTTTATCCATGCCTGAAGGAGCTCTGTGCCTTGTACCTGAAAGAGTTTCACGTCCCCTGAGCTCACTTTTCCTTCACAAAGTAACTCATTCTTCAGAGTACAGTTTTCTAGTCAGCTCCAAATTTAGAGGTTCCTACACGCCATTTTATTTTATGTAAATACTGTCAAGAAGCACCTTGGCCTTTCCTTCAAGGTAATTAGTCTTGGAAAAACATCCTTTGCTCTCCCACATTTAGGTCTTGAAAGTATCTAACTCTTTGTCGACATAGCATTTCACACCATGGCAAAGTGTTTTAGAAACAAGACATACTAATTCACCTAAGTCTTTATTTATTTGGCTCTAGGAAGAATTTGCATGAAAATGAGCCTGTATGGCAGGTACAGAGTGTACTGTAACAGCACCAGAGAGGTACAGCCTCTCTCCTCTACAGAGCCTCAACGGGAGTACATACATGGGACTGCAGTAATAAAACCAGATAATCCAGGAAAAAGGAGCCCTTTAGAAAAAAAAAATCAGTTTAGAGTGACTTTTCCAATTGACCATTCCTTTTCATATACTCAAATTCAAATAACAGATACATTCAGAGGCGCAAATGTTGGCATAGAATAAAATCATGTTCATTTATTTTTTTCTGCATCTTAGAATTAGAAGGCATAAAATTAAATATGTTGAATGTAATAAATTCATCCATACAAGTGCAAGTCTCCAGCTATAATGCATTTTATGGCAGATTTATTATTTAAAAAATGTACCAGTAAATCAAAAAAGAGGGAGTATGTCCATTTAACTTTTATTGAAGTGTATGGAGGAGGTCTTCAGAAATCAAATGAGCATGAAGATATGGCCAAACATAAGATCTATCAAATTCAGTGAAAAGTTGCTGACTTTAAATAGTAGTTGTAAGAATGACCAATATATATTCTTTGTTAACAACCTCTCACTCTACTGTAAAAAAAAAAAAAAAAGAAAAAAAAACCAGAAAAAAACATTCAGTAAACATTCTTCCTAAGGTAGTTTCCCTTATGTATCAGTGATTTATCCATTTCTTTGTATACACAAATTTGTTGAACATACCAATCAGTGGTTCTCACAATTGAAAAATAAAAGCACGAAAAGTTTACACTCTTGTACAGGTAAATAAAAGATCACCTTGAATTAAACTGGATCTCCTTAAGGGCATAGTATAGTTTCAGTTTCATTACCTATTACATAATTAGTTTCTTACATACAAATATTGACATATTTGGCTTGTGCTTGAAGCCTTTGTGTCTATGAAGTCCACGTCAACGCAGCTCATAATTGGAAGTCACTGGAGAGTTCTTTGCTGCTGCCAGGCCTGACCTGATCGTGCATTAGTGTCTCCTCAGCACCTGCTGTGGCCCTGCACACCTCCGAGGCATCCTCCAAGTCCGGGTCCAAGCCTTCGGGGCAAGGAAGTTTCAGCAGCTCTTCACGGAGCTGAGCAGTGTGACGCTATGCAGGAGAAAAATGACTGATATAATGAACTGTAAATCCTGAGATTCCACATCATTTGAGGGAGGCACAGGGTTTTAACAAAATCTAAAGAATTAAGCCTAGAGATATTTACTGAACACTTCCCCTGTGCAAGCCTACACAGGTCGTAAGAAAACTGGCGTGAATCTCTGCCCTGGAAGTAGCCCTGAGTAGGATACACAAAGCCCACCCACACCCCACCCGCCCAGACGATATTTCTCATCACTTCAAGGACACTACCAATTCGATACCTGTACTCTTTAAAATGAGAGACAGTAACCCTTGTCTTGTCATATATGCTGCCTCTGTGTCTTTCTGAGAGAAAGACAAGCCCCTCAGTCAAAATGAATCCACTATTATTTTAGTGAATGAAAACAAGTATTTACCAGGCCTTCGGTAAAATGTTTGCCAAATGTTTCACATTCAGCATTAATTTTCTTAATGCTCAGAATAAACCTTAAAAATAATGTTACCATTAGAATTTAAAAAATAATTATAAACAAATAAAAAAGAAGATCTAGGCTCGGCACCTGTGGCTCAAGTGGCTAAAGCGTCAGCCACGTACACCAAAGGTGGTGGGTTCGAATCCAGCCCGGGCCCGCCAAACGACGATGGCTGCAACCAAAAAAAATAGCCAGGCGTTGTGGGGGGCGCCTGTGGTCCCAGCTACTTGGGAGGCAGAGGCAGGAGACTCGCTTGAGCCCAGGAGTTGGAGTTTGCTGTGAGCTGTGATGCTATAGTACTCTACCCAGGGGAACAGCTTGAGGCTCTGTCTCAAAAAAAAAAAGATCTAGGGAGACTAAGGAAATTTTACTCCATGCTACAATTTACAGAAGGATACAGGAAAGCTAATAGTAAGTGGCTGGTTGTTTACAAATATAAAGTTTCAGTTTCTAATTTTCTAAAAGAAAAGAAATTATCTTATATATCATATCAAGGACTTTAGTGTATCAATAACTGGCTTTGAAAATTATTATTATTTTTAGAGATAGTTTCACTTTATCACCCTCGGAAGAGTGCCATGGCGTCACAGCTCACAGCAACCTCCAACTCCTGGGCTCAAGCGATTCTCTTGCCTCAGCTGCCCGAGTAGCTGGGACTACAGGCACCTGACACAACGCCCAGATATTTTTTGTTGCAGTTTGGCCGGGGCCAGGTTTTGAACCTGCCACCCTCAGTATATGGGGCCGGCGCCCTACTCACTGAGCCACAGGAGCTACCCTGGCTTTGAAAACTAACCAACATTTACAGAACAATTTTTATTTATGAGGTAGTGTATTAAATATTGACAACATAAAGGCAATAAGCACAATAAGGATGACAGGGTGGCGCCTGTGGTTCAGTGGGTAGAGTGCTGGCCCCATATACCGAGGGTGGTGGGTTCAAACCCAGCCCCGGCCAAATTGCAACAAAAAACAGCTGGGTATTGTGGTGGGCACCTGTAGTCCCGGCTACTCGGGAGGCTGAGGCAAGAGAATTACCTAAGCCCAGGAGTTGGGGGTTGCTGTGAGCTGTGTGATGCCATGGCACTCTACTGAGGGCAATAAAGTGAGACTCCGTCTCTAAAAAATAAAAAAAGAAAAAGACTGTCTTCACAATAAGGATGATAAAATCTCTGAGCTCTGGAAGAGTACATTCTGGCTGGAAAAGTAAGACATATAAATAGGGGCAATGCCTGTGGCTCAGCGAGTAGGGCATTGGCCCCATATGCCAAGGGTGGTGGGTTCAAACCCGGCCCTGGCCAAACTGCAACAACAACAACAAAATAGCCGGGCATGGTGGTGGGCACCTGTAGTCCCAGCTATTCGGAGGCTGAGGTAAGAAAATCACCTAAGCCCAAGAGCTGGAGGTTGCTGTGAGCTGTAATACCACAGCACTCTACAGAGGGTGACAAAGTGAGACTCTGTCTTTTAAAAAAAGAAAAATATATATATATATGTATGTGTGTGTGTGTGTGTGTGTGTATACATATGATGAAATAACTACAGCCTTCCAGTGTAAGGTTTCAAAGTATATTTACATGCTGGTAACTCAAAATTCCTCTAGCACCGATTTTCCTTCTATGATGTACAATAGCTTTAAACATTAACCAGGAAAGAAGAAAGCAAAATCTGGATACTGGGAGGCCTCAGTCGAGGTGGTGGACACCACGGTGGAATCAAGCTGAACTGCGTTATTTTTCCAGAGTAGCACTCAGCAGCAAAGATACAGCATAAATACTATAAGTCTGGATTAATCCAGAGATTGAGATTTCCAGGTCAAGGGTGACACAGAAAAAAATTCAGTGAAGAATCCAGAATATGAAGCAAGACAATGATTGAAATATCACAGCTAGAAAAGAAAGGGGGTTGGACTTCACATCAAGCCACTGAGCTCCTATGCTGGAAGCTCTTCCCCTTCTGGAAGGGGAAGAATGTGGGCCAACAGGCTAAGCTGTGAGCGGCCCCCTTAAGAAGGCAGCACTGATAGGACCCAGTGCCAATCACGTGTACTGGCTGAGCAAAGGGTTTAATGAGATCTTTAGATTTTAAGACAGAGGAAAGTGATTTAAAATTAAGGAAATAGGCTCGGCGCCTATAGCTCAACCGGCTAAGACGCCAGCCACATACACCTAAGGTGGCGGGTTCGAATCCCCAGCCCAGACC